GAGCAGGAATGTGCTGAGACTGCTTGCAGAGGAAACTTGAGTCAGAAGAGCTGGAAAAGGGACAAGAGCCTGCTGGAGAGTTGAGGAGCCTGCTGGCCCCCACCTTGACTCACAAGAAACCCCTAATCCACAGGAGTGTGTCTCCAAGGTTTGCCCAGCTCTGTGGCCCCAGGGACATGCAAGAGGCTAAACAATGCAATGACAGCCCCAAACATGCAGTGCTATCCCCCTAGACATGAAATGCCATCACCCCAGTCCATCTTAAGAGTAGTGCAATGCTTTGATTTGGGCCGGTGTGGTTCGGACTGCTCCTGTCTGCTATGCCCCATGCCAGTTCCAACTGAAGAAGGGGTGACTTGAAGCAGCAAGGGGACAGAGGTATAGGCAGAAGCCGTGTCCTACCTGCTCCGCTGTCCTGGGCTGCCTGCCAAGGAGCTGGCAAGGGACTTCAGGCTGGTCTGGCAACCTGCTCAGTGGAGAAACATCTTCTTTTGGCAGCGCCCACGGATGAAATGAGGAAACAGGTCTATTGCCGCCAGGTAGGGCATGCACCTGTGACAGTCCTGCCTGCTGATTAATTGCATTGCCAGCTGGTGTACTGCCTGTCTATACTGCCTGCAGTACCTGCAGTGCCTGTACTGCCTGCACTGCCTGCACTGCCTGCACTGTCTGTCCTGCCTGTCCTGCTTGCACTGCCTGCCTGTACATCTGTACTGTCTGTATTGTCTGTGCTGCCTGCACTGCCTCTACTGTTGTCTGTACTGCCTGTACTGCCTGCACTGCCCGTATTTCCTGCACTGCCTGTACTGCCTGCTTTGCCTAGCTGTCCCTGGATGAGCTGTGGCCCAGACACAGCCCTGCCTTCCAGGCAGCCCCACTCTGTCATGCTCTGAGACTAACAGAACTGTCTTGTAAAAATTGAAGATGGCACCATTTTGTGTGTTAAATTTAAATATCTTTTGTTGGGTCCAAAGCAAACACTCAGGGCTATGGGTCAGGCAGTGAGGAAGACCTGACTACATTTGAATGTGGTTTGAAGGGTTCTCAGGAACCTCTGCCTTGTCCTGCCAGCACCTGCTCTGCTCCGAATGATGCAGGTCCAGGCAGGAGTAGTTGTGCAGGAGCAGGGACTGGTGCTGGTGTCATGGGAAGGGGGCAGAGGTGCCCTTTGTGCTGGGCACACGGAGAGGACAACATTGCTGGGGCCAAAGCCTTGCTGGCTTTGCAGCTCCTGGTCTTGGGCATATGAGTCCAAGCAGTGCAGGCAGGGTAACACTTCCATGTCCTCCCTTGGGGGCAGAAATTACTTTTAACTGAGGCAGGTGCTCCCCAGAGGGATGCTAGGCCATGAGAACTATTTAGTTATTGACAGAGGGGAGGAGCTGGGGAGCTCCTGGGGAGAAGAGAAGACTCCAGAGGAAACTTATAGCCCCTTCCCCTCCCTAAAAGGGCTCCAAGTCGGCTGGAGAGGGACTTTGGATAGTCCACTTAATGATAGGACAAGGTCTAACTGCTTTGAACTGACAGTAGCTTTAGATTGGTCATGAGGAAGAAACGCACTATGGTGAAGCACTGGGACCTGTTTCACAGAGCAGTTGCGGCTGCCCCATCCCTTGCAGTGTCCAGAGTCAAGCTGGGCGGGTTCTGAGCATCCCGGCCCGGTAAGTGGAGGAGGCCGAACCGCAGGACCCTTAATGGCGGCAGCTCAAACTACATTTCCCGGCGTGCCGCACAGCCACTGCGCCTGCGCCCCGCTTGGAAGCTTCCAGTCGGGCTGCGAGGTGCCTGCTGGGTAGAAGACGGGCGGTCCCTTAGGCGCCATTTTGTGGCGAGGCAGCAAGAGGGGTTGTGCGGGTGTGCTTGGCGTGTGCTGCCGGAGAGTGCTGTGCCGGGTGCCTGCGGATCCTGGGCGGCGGCATGGGCTCGGACAAGCGGTGAGCGGGGGCGGGAGGGCGAGGGGAGACGGGAGGAGGCGGGCAGTGGTCGGGTCGGCGGTGGGCGCTTCACGCTCTGAGCTCGGCCCGCTGTGCCCCACAGGGTGAGCAGGACGGAGCGGAGCGGCCGCTACGGCTCCATCGTGGAAAGGGAGGACCGCGACGAGCGGGAGTCCCGCAGCCGGCGGAGGGATGACTACAAGAGGTCCAGTGAGGAGCGGCGCGGTGACCGCTATGATGACTATCGCGACTACGACAGCCGAGACTACGACAGCCGAGACTACGACAGCCGCGATAGCCGAGACTGCCGCGACTACGACAGTCGGGACTACGACAGTCGAGACAGCCGGGTCTGCCGAGACTACGACAGTCGCGACAGCCGCGATTGCCGCGACTACGACAGCCGCGATTGCCGCGACTACGACAGCCGGGATAGCCGAGACTACGACTGCCGGGACTACGATAGTCGGGATTGCCGAGACTACGATAGTCGGGATAGCCGAGACTATGATAGAGACTACGACAGCCGCGATTACGATAGCCCCGAGGTGAGCCGGGTCGGGGGGCCGGGGCCGACACTCCGGGGTCTGTGGGGCAGAGGGCACCGGGAGCGGGTTTGGTTCTGGAGTGCTGCCCGAGGCCGTGGGGATCAGCCCCGGGCAGGCGGCTGGCGTCCGTGTCGCCGTCCGTTCGTGTGACACTGTGGGAACACGCTGCAGGGAATCGCGGTGGCTAATCCTGTGCCCTGGCTTCCAGAGGGAGCGGGAGCGCAGGAACAGCGACAAATCAGAGGACGGATACCATTCCGATGGCGACTACGGCGAGCATGACTACAGGAACGATATTAACGATGAAAAAGAAAGCAAGACCATCATGTTGCGTGGGCTTCCCATCACAGTTACGGAGAATGATGTGAGTAGATGGGCAAGGCTGTGCCTGCCTTGCCTCCGGGTAGGGCCGTTCCGGAGCGGCTGCTGCCATTTTGTTGAAAGCTGCATCATGGTGGCCCCTCTCCAGCGCTGTCGCGCTGCCATTTTGAGTCCTGAAAGCATTTAAACTCCCAGTGTTAAGTAGTAGAGGTCAGTTCAATGTTAATCAGTCCCTTTCAAACGGAACAAGCCGTGAATACTCGTTTTTTCATGCATGTTCGGATTCTTTCCCTAAGAGTGGATAACTAGCTGCTCTTTGCTGCTTTCCTGTATGGGAGGGAAGAGGCAGGGTTTTTTTGTTGCTTCGCCCCACTGCGGGAAGGGGGAGGGGAACAGAGACAAAGAGGTGGCACTCATCAGTTTTTCTGGTCTTTATCGAGGCCCGAACTTGTGACCGATGGGGTCACACAGAGTCACCGAGCTCCTTAGCCGGGCACAGCCCCGCACAAAGCTGCTTTGTGTGGGCACAGCTGCGGGAGTCAAAATGGCTGCTGCCGAGCTGACAGAGCAAGTACTGACAGCTTGGTGCTTGCTTGCCTGACGTGTTCAGTAAAAAGATGTTAAAGCTTTAAGGTTTTCTTATTTATGGTAACTTTTGTAGGTTCTTTTTTTTCTTGCTGGTTTATTTTGGTTACTAAGCAATAAGCCCACAACTGTTATTTGAGGAGTAAAAGCTGAGCTATCCCAGTTTGTTTTCAGTCAAGGCTCCGCCTCTGCCTGCGATGTGTATATGCCTTAATTGCTAGCGCAGAGAATATATTTGCACCATTTCTACAGTGGAGATTTTTTTCCTTTGTTTTTTCATTGATTACTTGTTATCTTCCAGATACTGAGGGTTCCTAATCACCATATACTGCTCTAATGTTTTCATGAGTGTTTGAAATCAAATGTGGGTTCCTGCATACAAAGGAGACAGTCCAGTCAGACATTACACAGAACACTTCAGAACACTTTAGTTCTTGTATATGAGATACTGATGTTGTAGCTCTACAGTTGTGCAATAAGTGTAGTATAATTGTGTGAATGTTTAATTCTGGACTCAGGGTGTAGACAGTGTATCTTAGAATGCAGAGTTGACTTAAGTTCCATTACTTCTGGTTGTGTACACAATTTTCTCTCTTTTTTTCCATTTTTCAAAAGAAAAATTTACTTATATATCTGATATTATTTCTAGTCACCATATAAATGGGCAGCTTTAGGTAAGTTCTTATTCTGTTGAGCAGCCCTGTTGTATGTAACGTAGTTTGAATTCTGTGAAAACTGCTGAAAAACCTTCAGCTCTAGAAGGAACCCTCAGTGTCTTCTGTTCTAGAATTAAAAAAGTCATTAGTGTTTGTTTTTCCTCCTTGCCTCTGCGCAGTGACTGAGGTTGCCTGTGCTACAGCAGTTTTGTTACAGCTGAAGAATTGACATTTCTTTAGCTTTTTCTTTGATGACACGTTCTTCACAAATTCATCCTGAAAAATTGATGGGGATCAGTTAGAGGATGAGCTGTTTAGCATGAGGCTTAGGAATACATTCATCATGGAGCCAGGCAGTGCAGGCTTCTTGTTTTTCATTGCTAGGAGCAAAGGGTACTTAGACATGCAGGGAGAGGGGTACCAGCCGTGTTCTTTAAGCTTGGGATCGTGCTCACTCTTTGCCAAACACTGTCCACATAATCTCAGAACGCACGATCATAGGGATTCCGATTCTGGATGATTCAGTGTGCTGAGTGAGGATTATGGTTGGTTTAGCGTGTAGCAAAAGATTATGTGGACTTTGATGCTCATCAGTCCCCTTTGGGTTTTTAGTAAATCTTTTCTTTGTCTCTGAGATAGTGTTTAAAACGTTGTTTTGCATATCTCTTGCATGGTATTGCAAAGTAGGTTATTTCTGTGACTTCTGTCTTCCAAGTTACAAAAATGTTAACTCTGAGATCAAAATCTCCTGCAGATTCGTGAGCTTATTGAGTCCTTTGAAGGTCCTCAGCCTGCAGACGTGAGGCTGATGAAAAGAAAGACAGGTGAGAGCTCTTAATCCAGTTTTTGGTATCACCTTCCTCTTCCCCAGCCCAAAAGAGTATCCAGAATTGTCCCCAAACTGCAAGCACATGCAATAAAAAAAAAAAAAATTAAAGGTTTGCCATGGCTAAGGAATGTGGCTTTTTGGAAGACTTAGATAGCTGGTCAACATGTTTAAAGAAGTCTGTCTACAGGGGGTTTTGTTAACAGGTATTGGTAAGTAATGATAGTATATACCCATTTAATAGTATGTAGTCTGTTGCATGGTACCCTTAAACATGGATTTAAATCGAGTGAAATGTAGCCAGTTAAGGCAGCTTGGTTCCTTGCCATGGCAAAATAACGAGCAGATCCCAGCAGTTGACGTCGCATTTGTAAAGCTGCTTTGTCATGAAGTAATGAAGCAGTTGGAGAGAGATTCGCCTGTTTTAAAGGAACTGACTAACACAAGTATCCCGTCTATATCTGAATGCTGTCTCTAGGTGTAAGCCGTGGTTTCGCCTTCGTGGAGTTTTATCACTTTCAAGATGCTACCAGCTGGATGGAAGCCAATCAGGTTGCTTCACTCACCAAGTCTAGATATTCCTGAAAATGGAAAAAGTCTGTACAGTTTAACAAAAAAAAAAAAAAAAGGAAAAAACAGAGGTGGAAGGAGTGGTTTGTTCCATAACAGTGATTTAAAGAATAAAAGCTTTGTATATATTAAAAGTTGTAACCTGTAAGGGAAAATTAGGAGAGAAGGTTCTACTTTGGTAAAAGGTGCTGTTGTTTTAAATGACTTGGTTTCCACTTAATATGAAGATTTGGCTAGTCGTTATTTCCTAGCTTATTTCCACTTGATGTTTCCTTCTCTGTTGTGAGAGAAAAACATCTCTGTGTTACATTGGTATTAACCCTGAAAGAGAAGTGTCAGTTCTTGGCAATAATCTGTTAACCCAGTTAAAGCGGGGGAACTGGCTCTTCTAGAGGAAAAAGAGTATTCATTTCAACTAACTTAGGCAGAGAGTGAGATCTCACATTTCTTAGGCTCCGTATTTTGGCTTTTTTGTTACTATGACTTGATAAGGAGCCAAAATGCAGTAAGAATCCTCTGGTTTATTTTCCCATCAGATTTTCCTGTAGCACTGTACAGAGTTTCACTTACTTTTGCTACTTTTTTGAGTATTCATTACCTATTTCAACAGCAGAACTTTAAATATACTCTTGAAGTGAGCAAAGTGTGTCAAATCACTGATTTTTCTTGCACCTGAATATTTGATGCACCAGTCCTACAACAGCATTTTGACTTATTTTTCTGCTCTGTTCCTGTTGTAATAAAGAAATGGCACCATAATGGAATTCATGACAGTTCCAGCAGATGGAAGTTGTCATATGCCTTGTTCTGGAATAGTGTTTCATATGTCCCACACTATGGGTGAATTCCCCAGCCAGAAAGCAGCTTTCGAATGCTGTTTTCCTGACATGCTGCTCAGTAGGGTGTGTGGCTGCAGGGGAAAGACATACCGAGACATTAATGCTGAGTGTATCTTCAGAAATTGATTTTTTTTTTAATATATACAAAGCTGTACTGATGCATAATTTATTGAAATATACACAAATTCACTCCAGTAACCAGCCACCTTACTATAGTAGGGAAAACATAGCCTGTCCCCGGCAGCCGGGTTGCTGACTGTTAGATGACACAATGATGTATTGCAACTATACCAGCAGCCTTGTTTCTATGTGTGCACATCCAGTGAGTGCTGGGCCCTCCAACCCTCCCTCCTGCCGGTAGGAGCAATGGCTTTGCCCTATTCAGTCGTGCAGAATGTGAGAGCCTTATTCATGCTACATTCTAGATCTGTGTCAGACCCTGTTATCAAAAAAGCCTCTGGTCCTGACACTGTGGTACCTCTGCAGAAAGCCAGCCTGTTATAAAAGTGGTTCTGCCATTGCAGTGTCTGGGGTGTGGCCTCT